TTGAATGGATTCACGAAAATCTTGCAAGAGTAAACTTTGTAACGGACACCATAGAGCGACGCGCGACGGATCACCCAATGTCGTTTTAGTCATTAATTCATCGTTCGAACTGTTCGTCATTGACGTGTACACGTTTTTATGCATTCCACGTACTATCGTTAAATTATTCTTTCCGAAACTTTCGACCTCGTCGTTCCAAACGTCGTCGTCCTGGTACCACGATAATAATTTGACGACCGTGCTCAGGTACCTAACGAAAGCCGTGTAAGGAGAATCCGAATTTCCCGTGTAAATCAACGCGTCGAGTGCGGATTTTTGCGCGAACAATATAAACAGCGACAGCATTTCCGCAAAATTTATGCAAAAAAAATGATCTCTTGCAAATTTTTGACCCCTTCGAAATTTTTCCACGTTCAGCCATGATGGTTTACCCGCCGTGTTTGAATTTATCGTAAAATCCACCGTTTCGTATTGACCTAAAATCAAAGAATTGAAAAATTGTTTTCCGGTTTTGTTATCGCAATCGTAAAGATTTTCGTTGAATTTTAAATACTCCATTATGTCGCAATTTTTCTTTTTTCTTTTATGCTCCTGCTGATGCTGCTGCTGCGTCGTCGACGTCGTCGACGACGACTCTTTTTCGTCCGCGATTTGTACTTTTCTATAACGTTTTCCCAAAGGATTGTCATCGTTGCTGTCGCTCGTGTCTGACGTGTTATCTATACCCGAATCTGTTCCATCTTTGTATATTTTCACTTTGATTTTTCTACAATGATTCATGCCTGAAATACAAAATTTAAAACCCCGTTTAAATTTATCTAGTTCCACGTCGTCCGTCGCCCATCGGCCATCGTTCTTTGATTTTTCTTTTACGATTTTTTTTTTTAATGAATTGACCTCATTTAAAATTGCAAAAATCGATATTTATATTTTTAAAAATCCGTGTTTATTTACTCTATGAAATTTATTTATTTTTATATTGGGAACGAATCCAAAATCTTTAATTTTTAAATTTTATTATTATTTTTTTTTCCCTATTTTTCATTCGTCACTCCGCGTAATTATTATTATTATTTTTGTCTCTTTTCTAGCAGAAGACGTTTATTTAAAAAATTATTTTTCCTCTAGTTTCGTAATAAATCAATAATAATAATAATAATGATTTTTTCCAATCGTTAATATCGTTTTGTACATGAAAACTATCAGACTTACTTTTCTTGCGATTCGAAGTCGTAAATCAAAAATTTTTTTTTTTTTTTTAAAACAAAAACAAACACAAACAATTAAAAAAACAAACAAATCGTTTTGCGAAAAAATCAAATCAAAAAATGAAAAACAATTTAAAAAAAAAATCTCGTCGTCCCTGACAATCGGAGTAACCTTGACTTTCCTATTTCGTAACTTCTTTCCTTTTTTTTTTTTTTTGCTATTGTTAAAGTTGTTGTTGTTGTTTGTTGTTTGTTGTTGTGACTCCCTTCGTGCGTACTAGATAATTTGACTGGAAAACAATTCAGAGCGATTCGCTTTTTTTTTTTTTTCTCGTGCGAAAAAAAATTTTTTCGTTCGTTTGATTTTCACAAAGTTTTTACCGGAAATAAAAAATATAATTTTACCACCGTTTAAGCGAGTATTTCACGCGGCGGAAAATGCAAAGCGGGATATAAAACCGGAAGCAAAACGGGAATCAAAAACGGGAAGGAAAGAAGGAAGGAAGAAATTTCGAAATTTTTCGATGCGCAACAACATATTATTCGTCAAAGGCCATTTCGAGAGTTTAAATAAATAAATTTTACAACGACGTGTAAAAGATTGTGTCAAGTCACGTGACTAATGAAAAAAAAAACCATTGAAAAATTAATAATAATAATAATTATTATACCTGAAGTTTTGAAGGGATTCGAATCCGCGAAAATTTTTTTTTTTTTTTTTCAATCATCCATTTTTTTTCTTTGTTTTTTTTTTCTTAATTATTATTTATAAAAATGATCGAAGGCCTCCTTCTCCTCCTGAAAAAATAATAATAAAAATTACTACGATTAATGCGATGGGGACAGGGGAAGGGGGAAAAGAGGGAGGGAGAGGGAGAAAGAAAATTTATAAATATAGAAAATCGAAGGACGTTCTTAATTGAAACAAACAACCCCGCGAGGTGATGTTTACAAATAAAATTTACGTCTCCCACAACGCACGCACACCCCCCGCCCCCCACCCGAATTCGGTAGTCAAATTGTTTCCCTTTCGGGCAGGTCAAATAATTTTTCCTATTTATTTTCATAACTTCCGGCGTTTTTTATTTTCCAATCGGTGTCGTTTAAACGTTACAAACAAAAATCAAATTTCGCGAAAGAGAAAAATTAATTTCCGGTATTCTAAACGCAGGATTTGCCCTCCCTCCCTCCCTCCTCCCGAAATAATTTTTAATTTTTTCTTATTTATTTATTTATTCATAACATGACAACAACATTTTTCATATTTTGTCAGGTTTGTCAATTTTTTATGAAAATATTGCCAAAACGGCAAACGCAAATTTATGAATCCATTATATACAAACACAAACACAAACACGAACACGAACTTGCATAACTTATTTATTTACTTTTTTTTTATGAAAAAATGTTTCATAAAAAATTTTTTTTTCGTCTCCTTTTACGAAACCTCTTTTTCTTCTGCTTTTTTTTAGTGATATTTTAAAAAATTTCATAAAAATTTCGAAACGCAAATTAACGATCGTAAAAATCGAATAAAAAATTATCAATATTATCATTATCATTATTATTATTATTATTATTTCAACTACGCGAAACGTACGTAAGATTTGATGATTTATAAAAACGAAACCAACAAAAATTTTTTTTTTTTTTTTTTCGTTGACTCGATTAAAACCGGAAATGAAAAGATCGATCACACTTCCTTTGAATTTTTAATAAAATGCGATTTGTTTCGTGACGTCATCAAATCAAATTTTTTTCCTCCTTCTCTACATTTTTCTTAATGTCCTCTTAACCGAATAACTATTATTATTATTATTAGTGTTGCGATCTATCGAAGGTCGTACTTTGACCTCCTTCTTCGTCTTCGTCTTTTTCTTCCAATTTTTTAAAATAATTTTTTTGCCAACTTCATGAGAGAGAGAGAGAACTCGATGGAAGCTTATCACCCGATTGATATCAATTCCATGTGACGTAATCAAGGAGTTGAAGAAACGAGATGATGTCATAACGCAATGCGTACGTACCGATTCGGACTTTGTACGCGCACCCACGCACCATAAATTAATTATTTACCATGTCCAAAAAATTTCGTCATTTTTCAAACACAAACTGGGGGTAAGGGGGTAATTGGGGGGGAGGGAAAGGGAAAGAAGGAAAAAAAAAATGGCGCATTATTTTCCTTCATAAAATTTTAATTTCCTCCCGATCGATAAAATAATCGATAATTAAATGAAAACCGGAAACCGAAAAAAAAGAAAAGAAAATTACGCGTGCGTGCGAGTGTGCGCGCGTAAAACGCACGTAAAAATTTTCCCGACTATTAAATTGATTTTATTATTTTTTAAAACGAAAAATGATTAATTAAGGTTTAATTAATTACCTTAAAAAACAAAATGGCTACCGATTATTGATTTATTTTTACAAACGATTATATCGAGTCATCATCATCATCATCATCATCATCATCAATAATAATTTTAATTTTTTTCGCGTTATGAAAATAAAATATTAAAATTTTATTCAAGGGGAAGAAAATCACGACAAACGGACGAATATTAATAATAATAATAATAATAATAATAATTGGAAAAAAGCGGTAAGATATCCAAAAAATTTTAATTTTTTTTCCTTAACGTCGTCGACACATCTTTGATTTTATCCTTATCAAAATTGCAATAATAATCTTATCACGTAAACAAATTTTCGTAAATTCGTTAAAAATAATAATAATAATAATAATAATAATAATAATAATAATAATAATAATAATAATTAAAACCTTGAAAAAAATTTTTTTTATTTTTTTTTTCCTTTTTCATCCCTACCACCGTTCGAACAACCAACCAAATGACATTAAAAAAAAAAAAAACTTGAAACTCTTCTATAGTTCGATACCCACAACTACAATAATAATAATGATAATGATGATGATAATGATAATTTAAAAGAAATGAAATCAGTCGTGAAAAAATACCTCGTTCGACAAACACATAAATTAATTAATTAATTAATTTTTTTACGACTCGGTATATATACATTTATTTATTTATTTATTTACTTTAATAAAAAATTAATAATCGTTTAATATTTATTACTGGTGTAAACAGTGGTGGTGGTGGTAGTGGCGGTGGTGTCGGCGGCATCGTATGTACAACAATTTTTTTTTTTTTCATTTTTTTCAATAATAAAATCAAACTGGAAAGTTTATCAAGTCGAATGGACGACTTGTTGTTGTTGTTGTTTGTCGGGAACGCGGCGTAAAATATTTAAAATATGTAAGTTTTTTTTTTTTCCTTACTTATATATTACCGTAATAATTTTACAAATTAAACGACACACACACACACACACACACACACACCGCGTTGAAAAAAAAAACGCGCGTAAAAATACCCCCAAAAAACAAAAAAAAAAAAATTTTTTTTACATTAATAATTTCTTCTAACTCTCAACGAACGAATTATTTCTATTATTATCATCATCATCATCATCATTATTATTATTACTATTATTATTAATCATTTAAATGCTCTTATCATTAAACAAATATGCGAATCGTACGCGCGTAACATCAATACAAATTCAAATTCGCTGTTAATCTACTTATTAAAATGATAACGCAGAGCATAACGAATAAATTACAACAATACACATTATTATCATTATTATTATTAATAAGACAATAATGATGATGATTAGAATGATAATACTGATAACGATTAAAAATTTTAAATAATAATAATAATAATAATTATAGGTCGTTGAATTTATATCTGAGGAAAATAAAAGAAAAAATTTTCTTTTATACGATTGTTATTTACAATGATAAACAAACAAACGAAACAATTAATTAAATTAATAATAATAATAATAATAATAATAATAATAATAATAATAATAATAATAATAATAATAATAATAATAAATACCTTAAAAATTTTAGTTTCGTTAAGGTTCTATATATGTATTTGATAACAAAACACTTTGATAATAATAATTTTTTTTAAAAAAAAAACAATTTTCGCGCGTTTTTTTTTACTGGTGGTAGTAGTAGTGGTGGTGGTAGTAGTAGTGGTGGTGGTAGTAGTAGTCGCGAATGAAAACAAATCAATTGTGAAATTATTTACAACAATAATCAAATTTTTATATAAAAAAACAAACTGTAGGCCTTTTTTAATACATGTTGCCTTTTCAAGTTCATTGACTTCCTTATTTAGGCTTAATTGCAAATTTTTTTTTATAGCAAAATTAAAACCTTAACGAATTTTTTTTACATTTAAATAAAATCAAAAACAATAATGATGATGATGATGATGATGATGATGATTGATCACATACATTAACGACAGCAATAATATTTTTAAAATTTAAAATAATAAACATAAATAATAATAATGATGAGAAAAAACTTACATGATTGATAAATAAACAAATCGATCCACCTTTTTTAAAACATTTTTACTTATTATTATTATCACTATTATTATTATTGTCGAACAATGTGAAAGAGAGAGATAGAGAACACAAAAAACAAAAATCAAATTTTTTTAAACTTTTAAAATTTATATAAAAATAATTTTTTTTTCTTTTTTTTATTTATTTTTATTAAAATTTATCGTCATAAACGATCCATCATGGCGGTTTTCGTGGTTGGGGAAAAAAAAAAAATCTTCTGCTAGAGTTCGTCCTTTCGTCTACTGCTTTTTTGCAAATGGCGGCAAATTCGATTCAAAATTTTTGCAAATTACTTTTTTGCGTGCGTGTGTGTGTTTGTCTGTGTTTTTCCTCCATTTTTCCGACTGATTATAAATAATGATAATAATGACCTTGAAATTCTAATACAATAAAGTTCCTAATGATAATAATAATAATAATGATACATTAAATATAAATAAAACGATTTGTATCGTCATCGACGAAATTATAAAAAAAAAAAATTAACGAATTATATAATTAATTCATTAACGATGATGATGATGATAATAATAGTCACATCCGTTAATTATCGTCGTAAACGCCAAAAACGTTTTAAAATAATAATAATAATAATAAAATTAATTTAATATATTATTTATTTATTTATTATCAATTATCATTTATGTGAGATTCACCTGATCGCAATTCAACGATTACAACATTTATATAATATTAATAATAATAATAATAATAATAATAATAATAAT